AGCCGGCTGTGAACTGTCAGTGGGTCAGCGGGTCAGGGGACGGTGACCAAATGCTTTGATTTGGGGAGACTCAAGGCCCGCCTTGGAGCTGACTTTCTCGCGGATAGTTGGTGGTTGCACTAGGCAATTTTGTTAAGCGAATGTTCACCGCCGAGCAGGAAAATGAGTTAGTTCTGGGCCCAGAAAGACCAGAAACTGCATATGACACCACTCGCTTTTGAAACCTCCTGTTGCACACACTTTCCAGCCCTACCCAGGGGACAGCTGTGCATGCTGGTGACTGTGGCAGCGTGCAGACCAGTTAGACGTTCACCGCCTGGGGCCCGGGAACTGGATGGGTAAAACCCCATGCGTTGAGGAGAGCAAAGCTTGTCCCAGATTTAGATTTTCCCCGGTTTGAATCACGTTCCTTGGAGAGAACTGGAGAACTAAGCTTTTCTGCCCTCTGCAGCGCCCAGACTAGGTGAACCTCCATTCCATTGGGCTGTGAAGTTTAAGATTTTCAGGAGAATCTTGCAGTTCCCTATGGATAAGAGCGCTGTGAGGCACACAACACACAGACTTGTTCCTCTGTTTTCTGCTTTCTCATGGTGACTTGAGAAACAGGCTTTAACTCCTCTTTGGTAACAGTAAGTCTTTATCTGGCAGAGCCTAGCAGAGTGAGTAAGCATGTTTGGCTGCTTAAATGTAAAAGATGGAGACAGTGATTGTCTTGAGCCCAGCCTGTGTTTTAAACCATCTGACAGATGTCCTCACCCGGTCAGAATTGGGGGGCCTTGGGAGATTCCAGCTCCTGCTCCCCCAGGAGGCCTCCGTCCTCTTTCAACCCCGCCCTCCGTGGTGCAGGCCTCTGGCAATGACATCAGTAGGATAGAGAGTGCTGGAAAAGTGGCTGCACGTCTTCCTGCGCCTTCTTAGCTTGGAGTATTTTCTGTCTTTCTCAGTTGACAGAGCTCTGGTCTCACCTGGCGGCAGGGGCAGGGTGGCTAGTCCGTCACCTTCTGTCGTGTAGGGCCTGCAAGGCAGGGGGTCCTGGGGAATGCTTGCTACCCCCCTTTATAGAAATATCTAAACTCAAGTACTGACATTTAAAATTTTTAGATTTTATTAAAAATCTAACTTTATTAAAAATACATGCACTGATAATGTATATCCATAAATGTTACATAGTTGTAAACAGGGCATCCAGTTTTATGGTCATTTTATGAACTGAAGGCTCTTACTCTAGGGAAGTCATTGGGCCTCTGACAATATAATCAAGGCAGTGGACGCTATTTTCAGAACAATGCCCTGTCCCCAGCTTTGCATGCTATTTAACAGTCCCTAGACCCTGAAGCCCCTCTGTTGACCCCCGATAGGTTTTGGTTTCAGTTGCAATTTTGTCAGAAGTCAGCTTCATCAAGCATAATTTTATACAATGAAAGGCACCATTTTCGGTGCCTTGCTCTGTGAGTTTCAACACATCTGTGTAAGCTTCTCCGCTCCAGAGCACTTTTTCTTAACGTGTCATTTTGAAATAATTATAGACAGGAAGTTGTAAAATTAGCCCATACAGTCCCATGAATCCTTTGCCTCTCATTCCCCAATGGTGACACTCTGTGTGACCACAGTGTGACATCAGAACCAGGAACTTGGCACCAGCACAATACTGTGAGGAGGCTGCAGGCCTGCCCAGTCTTCAGTTTCCACCTGCACAGCGGAGAGGGCAGTCTGTGGTGGTTTGGTAGCACGGAAGGTCTCGTAGCCACCAGCACTGCTGGGACACAGAGCTTTCCCTCCAGCTCCCAAGAACCCCCCTTATTCATCTCTGTAGTTTTGTCATCAAAAGATACTTTGAAAATACTAACTTGTCAAGTCAACTTACTGAACCAGCTAATCCTGGAAGCTGAGCAGTTTGAACATGAGCTCCGTGCTGCCCTGACTGCTTGGGTGTGAGGCTCCTGATCAGCCCGCTGCTTTCTCAGCAATCCTCACCTGGTTACTAAGGAAGAACTGGTGTGCTCCAAGAGAGAAGAGTTGAGAAGAGAGCAGTCGGGGGAGATGCTGTGTGCACTCTCCCAATGTGTCGGGCGGGCTCCCGCCCCCACCCTACCCCACCCCGCCACAGGCACTGATCCCTGGCTGTAGTCCCCGACATTGCTTGTTGTGCAAGCAGCTGCCCCATGGCCGGTCCTCTGGGACAGGGAGGGAGATGTGCGCTCTGAAGACATTCTTGGCTCTTCTTGTGTTTAGGGTTTGTAGGGGGTTGTCCAGATCTCTTGGTGGAAGCGAGCACCCCACTTAGCTTCCTGCTGTCTGCAATTATTTCCCCAGCCATCGAGGAGTACAAGCCACAGGATGCCACCACGAACCCATCCCTGATCCTGGCCGCCGCGCAGATGCCCGCCTACCAGGAGCTGGTGGAGGAGGCCATCGCCTACGGCAGGAGGCTGGGCGGGTGAGGCTGGGTCGGGAGCTGTTTCAGCTGCCTCCCCCCAACTCTCAGGGGTCTTAGACTCAAGGAAAGGTCTGTTTTCATGCTTACTTCTGTCAGCTTTACCAACACGTTATTCCCACGTAGCCGACCACCTCTGCTGCAGGAGCGTGTAGAGACAGCGCCCTGTTGAGATGCAGAACAGCTGCAGGCCCCCCCAAAATCTCCCTCCCCTTTGTCGTTGGTCCCCCAAGCCTGGCAGCTACGGGCCTGCTTCCTGGCATTTTGTTAACTTTTCTTTATTAATTTTGTTTTGGTTTGGGGGGGCAGGTAATTAGGCTTGCTTATTTATTTGTTTGTTTGTTTGTTTGTTTATTTAAATTTAACGGAGGTACCGGGGTTGGAACCCCCAGACCTCATGCGTGCTAAGTGTGTGCCCTGCCCCTGAGCTGGATGCCCACCCTGCCTCATTTTGCTATCTTTCAACAGCTTTACTGGAGTGAGGCTCACTGTCTAAGCTCACAGTCCGATTGGTTCTGATAAATGTATGCAGTGGTGCAGCCGTGGCCACAGTCTAGTCTCTGAGGACAGGCACCTCCCGGCCGGCCCCCGCTGTCCCCAGCTACCGCAGCCTGGCTCTCCCCTCCACAGGTCTGCCTTTGCTGGTGCCATTTTAAATTTAAATTTAAATTTCCATCAGGCTGATACTGCCCAGCTGGAAGCGGCCTGCAGGGAATAGGGGTAACCCGGCAGGAGCTCATCCTGGGCTGGCCTGCCCTTTCCTGGCCCCATCGTTTGCTGAGGTGCTCCATCACTGCCCCCGCCCACTCACCACCGGGCACACCCAGTTCCTGGAACTGGTGATGAGGTGGTGTCCTTGGTGATTGCCAGGCTGCCCTGCTCCCCTGTCCAGACCCCTAGAGGGCTGTAGCCCCTGACACACAGGCTGGAGAGCTTTCAGTCCATCTTGGAACAGCACTGTGTATATACTCGTCTGCCCAGGCGACTACAGAGATTGGAGGGACTGTCCTTTTCACAGGCCAGAAGGTGGAGGGGTTCAGCTTGGGAAGATGAGAAGGCTGTGGAGATGGTGGTGGTGATGGTGGCACAACAGTGCGAATGCGCTTAATGCCCCAGGACCATTCACTTAAAAATGGTTAAGATGGCAGATTTTATGCTATGTATGTTTTACCACAATTTAAAAAAATTTATTTTAAGAAAAAACATGAAGGGAAAAGGATTTGACAAAGAAATAACAGAATTTGTTATGTAGAATCCTGTGCATTTGAACCTAACAAGTTTCTAAGCTGATTTTTTTGCCTTGAATTTCAGGTCACAGGAGGAACAGATTACAAATGCTATTGATAAGCTTTTTGTGTTGTTTGGAGCCGAAATACTAAAGAAAATTCCTGGCCGCGTATCCACAGAAGTGGATGCGAGGTGAGGAGGTGGGGCCGACACAGGGTCAGGTGGGCTGAGGGGCAGCCACCCTCGGGTCTGAGGTTCCCATGTGGCGTCCAGGTGTCCGGTGGCAGCTGCTTCCTGTCAGGTAGTTCTCCTGCGGCCTGTGCTTGTACATGAACCCGCCATGGAGCAGACTGGATCAGGGTGGGGGGCGGTGCTTGGCTGCACGGCTCTGGGCTGGCTGGTGGGTGCCCTGAGCTGAGGCCCCTCCCCACAGGCTCTCCTTCGACAAGGATGCCATGGTGGCCCGGGCCCGGCGCCTCATTGAGCTCTACAAGGAGGCCGGGGTCAGCAAGGACCGGATCCTCATAAAGCTGTCATCGACCTGGGAAGGCATTCAGGCTGGGAAGTGAGTGTCCCGGCGAGGAGGGGGCCGGGGTAGTCTCCCCGGGTGGGGCCTCGCAGAGGAGCAGGTGCTGGGAGAGGCCCGCAGTGTCGTCCATAGCAGCCCAGTGTGCTGACGCCTGCAGCATGCAGAAAAAAGTCGTGTCCCACCAGACCACTGGGTGTAGAGGATGGAGAGACAGGTGCGGCCGGGAGCTGCTCTGGGGCCTCGCCGCTGCCTCTGGGTTACTCATTCCACTGACCTGCGGCCACAGATCTGCCGTCTGCCCCCGGACGCGCCTATTCTGGACCCTTCGCAGAAACCGGGGCCTCTGGGTCTGGCTTCCTGTGCTTGGCGTGCGTCAGGGCTGCGTGCATTTTAAGGCCGCTGTCCCCCGTGTGTCTACCCGGCATTTCACGAGTCTGTCCTCCAGCAATCGGCTGATGCTGCTGTGGGCGCGCGTACTCGGGTTCCGGGGCCGAGTCCGCTGGGCGTGCACCTAAGAGTAAGCTTGCCGGGTGCTGTGGTCACTTAGTGTTGGCTGGCGGAGCTGCCCTGTACCACCTGCAGCTGTGTTCTGTCGCCACCTCCCTGTGGCCAAGCGGCAGGGGCACCTCTGAAACTGTCCGCCAGGACAGGCACTTGGGGCCGGATAGGCCTGAGCAGAGACTCAGCCCACAGCCCACGCCCGCCCCAGAGTGTGGCCGAGGCCCCAGGACGTCACATGGACTGACGGGCTTTCTGCCGGGTTGCTCAGGGAGGTGGGCAGGGGAGGCTGCGGGCTCCAGTGGGACAGAGGGCAGCACAGTGCCATGCTCAGAGATGAGCTGGCGGTCTGCAGCCCTGGTGGCTCTGTGAGGAAGTGAGGGATTGGGGTCTGGCAGGAAGACCCACTGTGCCTCACAGGGGACCTCTGGAATGTGGGTTTGTTGGAGGAAATTCCGGTCACCCACAACCCACTAGCGGGAGAGAAGCCTGGAGAATGTTCCAGATTTGTTCCTAAGGAGAGTGGAATAACCCTGTTCCCGCCTCTCCCGTTACTGAGTTGTGCACATCTTTGGGGTCAGATGGGGCTCGCTGCAGTCTTGGGCGGGAATGCCTGGCGCCGCCCGCAGGCCCGCTGACACTGCCCATTGGTCCACAGGCAGCTGGAGGAGCACCACGGCATCCACTGCAACATGACGCTGCTCTTCTCCTTTGCCCAGGCCGTGGCCTGTGCTGAGGCAGGAGTGACACTCATCTCCCCCTTCGTGGGGCGCATCCTCGACTGGCACGTGGCCAACACGGACAAGAAGTCGTACGATCCCCTGGAGGACCCCGGTGAGTTGCCCTCAGAGGGGATGGACAAGGGGGGGTGGCCAGAGGTGGAGGGAAGCTGGTGCCTTGGCTCTGAGCCTGGCGGGGGCAGGGAGCTGCCGGTCAGCTCAGTTGTCTCCCCAGGGGTGAAGAGCGTCACCAAGATCTACAACTACTACAAGAAGTTCGGCTACAAGACCATCGTCATGGGTGCCTCCTTCCGCAACACGGGCGAGATCAAGGCGCTGGCAGGCTGCGACTTCCTCACCATCTCGCCCCAGCTGCTGGGGGAGCTGCTCAAGGACACCACCAAGCTGACGCCCATGCTCTCAGCTAAGGCCGGTACGTCCCCCAGTCACCTGAGGGGCGGGATCTCCAGCTGGGGCTGCGCTGGGCCTTGGGGGCTCAGCTCAGCACCCTGTGCATGTCCTCCCCAGCCCAGGCCAGCGACCTGGAGAAGATCCACCTGGACGAGAAGGCCTTCCGCTGGCTGCACAACGAGGACCGCATGGCCGTGGAGAAGCTCTCGGATGGGATCCGCAAGTTTGCTGCAGACGCTGTCAAGCTGGAGCGGATGCTGGCGGTGAGTGCCAGGGTCTGGGGGGGCTCCCTCAGGGGACCCTGCAGAGGCGGGTGAGGAGCAGCCTGGGGTGCGTGGCGGCTCACGTCGTCTGTCTTTAGGAACGGATGTTCAGCGCAGAAAATGGAAAGTAGTGGCGCCTGAGGCTGGACTACGGACCCGCGCCGTCTCAGAAGCACCTCCTCAGAACCAGGGGTCCAACTGCACACGCCTAGTAGTGAATCTTGCCTTTTTTACTAATTGGAGTGGGGATGAATCACAGACTTCTGATTTTATGTAAAATTCTGCTCGGTGCATTAAAGCCCTCGTTTTTCCTTCCTGCCTGCAGGGCTTCATTCCCCTCTCCACACCAACCACCCTACCTGGGCTGCCACTGCGGCCCCAACTGGGGTGGGGTTGGGTTACAAGCCCCACGAGGCCCTCAGGAGTGATAGCCCCTCACCTGATCACAAGCCTGCTGCTGGGCAGTGACCTGGAAGCCTTGACACTGAAGGTGGGGATTGGCCTGGAGCCCCCAGCGGCCCCCCAGGCTAGTGGGGTGTGCAGGCAGAGGGTTGGCAGCTACAGGCACCCAGGAGAGGAGCGGCCCCACCCCCTGCTTGAGGGCCTCCTGTCCCCACCTCCCTGGGGCTGAAGCATCAGCCTGGAGGACCCTCCTCACACCCTGGGTTCCTTGTGGGGCAGTGGCGCCACCTTGTGGGGATGGCACAGTGCACTGGCCAACAGCTTCAAAACCTCAAATCCAGAGTGAGGGGTGGGGAATCATTTGCGGGGCTGGTGACAGGTGGTCCACACAGGAGCCCCACCATCTGCTCCTGAACACAGCAAGGCAGGGACAAGGGTCTGGATGAGGCTGCCCAGGAGCAGGATGGGAGCCACAGGCCAGCACCCCCCAGCCCACCCCACCCCTGGTATGGAGGCAGCCCAGCTGGCCCTCCAGACCCAGTGGTGGAGCCAGGTGTTAGGACCTGTATATTGGACACAGCCCTGCTCCCGCTAAGGGTCAGCAGGGAGCCCCTGTGCCCCCCAATCCCTGCTTCCCTCTGGCAGCCACTCCCCCATCCTGGGAGCCAGAACACACTTGTCTCCAGCTTCCTGCAGGGTTGTGGGGGCACCAAGCTCACTGAGCCCACCTGCTGGAGGTTGGAGCAGAAGGGCTGGGGGTTGGGGGTTCTGGAGCCACCTCCAGCCGCCCTCCCCAAAAGCAAACGCAGTGCTGGGCAGACAGGGCAGATCTAAGGACCGGCTGATCCAGCTCATCAGGGTGCTGAAGGGGCCTCCTTGGGTTGGGTAGGGGCGGGACATCAAACCACAGGGACCTGCCGAGGGTCCAAGTGGTGGACAGGGCTTCTCACCTCTGCAGGGCCCCTCCCAGCTCTCAGCTGCCTGGCTGAGTTGGGGGCCAAGGCTTCCTACAGCCCCAGCAACCCCAGCCCCCTCCCCATGAGCAGTCAAGGGGCTGTCCTGGGGGGACAGAGATATCTCAGTCCAGCCTGGCCAGAGGCCTCAGGATACAGCCTACCCACTCAGCGTACAACCTGTGTGGCCAGCAGCACTGAGCTTTAGAGTATGTTTGTTCCCCTGAAAGAAGACATCATGTCCATCAGCCTCTGTTCGCACTCACAAATGACCAATCCACTTTGAATTTTCTGGGTATTTCCTATCTGTCTGGCTTCTTTCACTTAGCAAGGCGTTTTCAAGGTTCGCTCACACATCACAATGCTGTCAGAACTTCACTGTTTTCCGGCCACACAGCATTCCACCTTTACAGAGGTTATTATCCATTAATAAGGATGCTGCTTATGGAAGCTACGACTTCATGTCACCAATCACACCATGGACATTCACACACCATTTTGTGGTGGTGTAGGTTTTTCTTTCTTTGGGTAGACCTCTGGGTCTGTTTTAAACACCTTGGGCATGTGGGGAAACCCCAGGCATCCACACCCACCCATCGGCCACCTCCCAGCTTCAGGGGCTGCCCCCTGCCCCAACCCCAGTGTCCCTGGACCTGGCATACTCAGGACCAAGCCACAGAGGGCGGACTCAGCCACCAGGACACAGGGCTGTGGAGGGCCCCCTGCAGGGCCCACCTGGGTCTTGATCTGGCCCAGCAGAACCCCTTCAAAGATAACCAATGTTGCCCCTGAGGGCACCCCAAAAAACTGTTCAGAGCCGTTACTGTGTGAGGACTGCAGACACAGGACGACTGGACCCCTGGTGAGGCTGGCCAGGCCCACTGTGCACAGAGCAGGCCAGCAGGTGTCGGGACCCCCAGAATTGTTCTTCTGGGAGATGCCAGGGAGGAGAACGCATGCAGGGAGCACCTCAGCCTGGTCTGTGGAGCAGGAGGGAAGCAGCCTCGGACCCGGGGGCGCCCTGCTTCCTTCTGAGGGGTTGGAAGCAGCAGAGCCAGTCAGGCTGAGATAACAAGGAGGAGGGTGACAGAGAAAGGTTGGGGACACATGCAGCTCCAGGAGGACCCGCCTAAGGGCCACAGGCCAGGCCCCCCCAGGGAAGCTGGAGAGCGATCGGGCTGCACCAGGAGCCAGCCAGCCAGACCGCCACCTGGCGTACCCAGCAAAGGTCAGTCCAGGGCCTGCGAGGTAAGGACTGTCCGCCACCCCTGCCAACCCACGCCGGCCAGCCACACCCAGGGCTTCCTTCCAAGTGGAACTCGGGCCTCCCTCACTTCCACCAGGCAGAGCAGCTGCAGAACCAGCTCGGCTGTCACCACCTGGAGGCCCCTGGGCAGGACTAGGGTGGTGTATTCACAATCAAAGTGTTCCTCTCAACATCAGAAGGGACACGGTGGCACCGCAGCGTCCACCCCAAGGTCCACCCAGGCCTTACGCGGGGTCGCCCTCACACTGGCAACCATGCACCAGGTAAGGGTCAGCGCCAGTGGGCAGGACCCTCCCCACACAGCCCCCACCAACACCCAAAGCGATGGGGAGACCGCAGACAGGCCCCAGAAATGGGACCCTGGGGCCCTGCCTGTCACTGCCCAGCTAGCCGTCATCCTGGCTTCCAGGAGGGCTCAGCCTCTGTTCCCCTACACGGGTGCAGAACGAGGGTAGGGAGGGGCCAGGACAGCCCCGCAGCCGACTCACTGGGCATCACAGCTTGCTCTCTGTGGAAGACAGAATTCTCAAGGACCATTTGGCGGTCTCGGCGCTCTCCACCTCCTCCCCAAGGAGACGGTGCCGGGGTCGGGGCTGGGCCCGCCCCAGAGCTGACAGCCCTCAGGGAGGGTCCTCAGCCTCCACCCCCAGGGCCAGGTGAGGTGTCGCAGAGGCAGGCCCGGGAGGCCTGAGAGTCCAGCTGCCTCTGGGGACACCCGGGACGCCTGGAGGTGGCAGCACCTGCTGCCAGGCTGCTCCGGCCGCCTCACTTCCTGTAGGACGGACGCCAGGTCAAGGCTTGGGCAGCAGTGCCAGCATGTCACTGCCCACCTGGCCCAGCAAAGGGCTTGCTCACAAGCCAGGAACCCGCCTGCCACCCCAGGCCCAAAACCCTCACCGGCTACCGCAGAGGAAAAGCAGGTTCTGCACGGCCGGGACAGTGGAGCTGGCATTTTGGCCGGTGATGAGGTGGCGGTCCAACACAACGTGCACAGCATCAGGCTCACTGGCTGCAGGAGACCCGCGGACACCGGCCTCAGGCAGTGCCATGTGCTGGGCGTGGCCCCACCCCACTCCCCAGGCCGTGAGCTGCAGGTAGACTCCGGTGGTCAGGGGGTGGGCCAGCCTGCCTGGTCTCAGGTGCTGGCCCTTGAGGTCCACTGGACACGGCTCCAGAAGGCTGGCCCGGCCGGGCTGACCGCAGGCTGCGGCTGCAGCCCCTGCCCATCGCCACCCCTAAGTGCCCACCCAGCTCACCACTGAAGCAGGCGCCTGCGTCCTTCACGAAGTCCTCCACAATGAGGGGCAGGTGGGCAAAGCCGGGGGCCCTGACGAGCTCGTACACGGAGGGCTGTGGGGGAAGGGGTGTTGCCCCAGGTCAGGTAAGTCCCAACCGGGTACAGGGCATGTGAGGGGTCACAGCCGGGATCTCCCCCAGGGGCCGCACAAGCAGACAGGGAGCCCCTGCTCCAGAACCACCGGCTAGGCCAGCCTCGGTCCTCTCCCTGCAGACCCTCCCCCAGGACCCACCCCCAGGACCCTTCCTCTGCTCCCTGTCCAGTCAGGTCCTCCACCTAGAAAAGGAGTAATACACCCAACAGGCACCTCAGAAGGGCGGGAACGGCCCCTGCTCCTCGCCACTCCCCCAACCCTGTGCTGGAATTCTCCACAGCCCCACCTGAGCAGTGACCAGTGCCCCCACCAGAGGGACCCCCAGCTGGTCCCCGGCCTGTCCTCATGCTTCCAGGCACAGGGGCAGGTCTGTCCATGCCTGTCACCGCCAGGGCCCCTGCAGTGCACTCACCCCCGTGACGCTGTAGCCTTGGAACACCCATGACCTGTCCTCGGTGGTGGCACAGCAGAGTGCGGCGACGCCGTGGCCCACAGCGCAGATAGGCTCTGAAAGCAGGGGTGACACTGGGCCTCAGGCCGCCCAGCCCCCAGCACCCCCACCCCCAACCCTCCCTTTCCACTGCCCAGACACGTCTCAGAACTGGGACTGTTTCGGTGACCTAGAAACAGACAGCGAGGAGTAAGGTGAGTGCTGGGGTCCGCTGGCCAAACTTGGAGCGCTCCCACCCTCTTCCCTCAGCACTGCCTGCACGGCTCCAGGCTCAGATGTGGCCTGAGGATGGATGTCAAACGGCACAACTGTCACGGTGTGGCAGCCCACCTGGGACCCTTCCTCCTTCTCTGAATGCAAGGGAAGCCTCTGTGCTGGGGGAAGGTGCCCAGCCCCAGTCTTGCCCCTCACGGCCACTGGAGGCAATACCCCCTCCCGCTGAGCAGTCACCCTGGCTCAGAGCCTTCCTCTTAGAAGGCAGCCTGGCACCAGAGCGTTCCCACGGCTGAGGTGGCCAGGGACAATTGACGCCTGTCCAGACCCTGCTGGGGACAGGAGGCCCCATTCCCACCAACAAAGGCCGCTGTGTGGAGCCCCTGGCTGTCTGCTGAACCCTAATAAGCACCCACCCCCACCCAACGGACTTGTCCAGCACAGCCCGGCGTCCCCACAGAGCAGACTCTCCCAGCCGCCACTGGCTTGAACCCCAAGCCCCACCAGGAGCAAAGCCAGCATCCTGCCCACCCACCTTGGAGGGGCCAGGGAAGGGGGGGCCATCTGCAGCCACCAGCCCGAGGGAGACAGGCAGAGGGACCATGGGGGCAGCGACCTGATGGGCACAAAGTCAGGGAGAGGGAATGCCCTGCCCACGTGTGTGCACACACAGAGTAAACCTGCCCACTCACTGGTCAGAGGCTCTTCACATCTGCCGTCAGGGCATTTCCAGCACCAAAACCTGAACCCCACACTCCATGGCCACCACTGCCCACACCCCTCATTGGTGTGGCCCACCCCTCCTTCCTGTGGGGAGAGCCCCATTTTTCATCAACCTGTAGAACCACCCCAAGTCCAGCTCCAAGGGCCACCTACTGCTCTCGCCGTGGAAATGCTGCAGGATCCGAGCCAGGGACCCACTGCTGGCCAGGTCAGCAGGGCCCCAGGACAGCTGGGAATCAGGAGGGCATGGTACCGGGCACCTGGCAGGAGACCACAGGCCAGTCAGTCACAGAGAGAGAGGTCCCCGGCCAGGGTCTGGTCCTGCACAGTGACCAGCCAGG